TATGTCAGGCATAGAAAATCCTGTAAGTATTATCTTGACTTTATAGATAAGGAAACAGAATCAGAAGTGACTAGCCCAAGGTCCCAAAGATTACAAGGGTTTAGGCTGAGACCCAAGCCAAAGTCTACATTCTTTCCATGACACCACGTGCACTGGAAGGGTCCCGGTTTGTGTCATTTGGATTAACACAGGCATACATCTGTCTGCAAGAAAACCAGAGTCTGCCCATCTCTCCCCACAAAGCTCTGTATAAACACCAGAAGGAGTCTTTGCTCGATAACCCAGCGTGTTTCCCCTCACCAGAAGTGATGTGAGCCAAGAGCAACTTCTGCCTATATCACAGACCCAAACCCTACTCCCCTAACGCCACCGAGAGCTTTAATGTCAATGGTGCCATTTCTGATGTTCTTTAAGACAACCTGTCCTTACTTCACCCTGCCAGCCCAGGGCCCTGAACTACCACGCTGTCACTCTAGGTTGTCACCTCATGCCTGGATGACACCGAATGTTGTTTGGAGTGTATTTGCTTATTTAAATATGAATATATTGGAGACAAAAGTTTGCTAGCATTCCATACTGTTTTGATCAGGTTTGGCTTTACGACAAATTAATCACCTCTCCAATTTTAGCATATATAGAACAGAGGAACGTTTCATCATGGATTCTGCAGGAGAACAAACTTTAAAAATCTTTAAAGGATGGAGTTAAAAACAAATCAAAACAGAAACACCCAACCCTAAGGGTCACTAGGAACATTTTCCCGTATTCAAAAAAATCTTGGATGCCTTTCCCCTTGACCCACCCAAGGGCCTACGCAGATGCTAAGCTGCATACAGGAATCAGTGATTGAACAGAAACTTGGTAAAATGCAGATATTTCTTATGTGTCCAAGAGGTACTAAAGGGCAGGCCAGCCCAGAAAATGACAGCCCTGTTTTTTACCTTCTCTAGCCTATCCTTCCCCTGCTGAGACGATCCATCCTCTTCTGTCAGACCCTGAGAGTCTTCGAGAGAAAGTCCAAACTTGTTGGTGTCCCACACGGGGCCCTTAATAAAAGCCTGACACGCAGGAGGCGCGCAGCTAAGCATTTGCAGACAAGCGCCACAGACCCTACGGCTGTGAAGGCAGCCAGTGCTACTTCCGCCTCACTGATACGGTGGAGAGAACGTTCCACTGGCACCGGCTAGGACGTGGCAGGACAGGGCAGAGGTGTGACCCTGGCTCTGCCACCTCCAGTCTGTGCTCTTGCCATGTCACCCCCTCAATTAAAGAAAGACAAGCATTCCTGCTGCCACTGTTCCTACACCTCACTGCTCTCCAGTTAAGGCTAAGGAAGTAGCAAACTTCCTTGTAAAGAGAAAACTCTTTACAAACAGGACAAGAAGATAATGGTGATGTTCAATTACTTAAAACCTACCCAAAGGGAGGCAGCAAAGTCACGTGGGAATACCACAGGCTCTGAGGCTGCACAGGCCTGGGTTTGAATCCTGCTCAAATCTTAATTTGCTGGCATGAGTCACCTGCCTCACCAGACTCCCATTTCTTTATCCAAAAAATAGGCACCTCTACCTACCTTACCAAGCTGTTGGGGGAGCAGACGTATATATATGAAGCTTTTAGCACAGGCACATAGTAGGTGCTTAATGAATGAGGTTACTGCTATTAAGTCACAAAACATACAGTTGAGACAAAAAAAAAACCTGTGTCCAAGCCAAGATATGACATTCCACAGTGATGTAGATGCAGTGAGCCATAACTCATCAAACTCATCATGCCGTGGTGTGACAGACGTGAGGGTGGCCTGAGGCCCCTTGAGTCTGCAACAGCTCAGGGAACAGCCCTATCATTTAGAATCGGGCTGTAATCCAGCAATCTCAACAAGTATAAAATCAAAAGGTCTGAACTGTAAATTTTCAAAATTTTACCAAGACTAAAATTAGTTAATCGATTTTCACACACTCTCCTGACACCACTCCAGTCTGCTTTTGAAACATTCATGTCATTCATTCATTCCTAAACACTGGCACCGGGCACAGTGCTGGGCGCTGGGGTGCGGCAGAGGGGAAGAGACGTTCCCTGCCCTTGAGCAGCCCACGATCTAGAGGAAGAGTAAGGAAAGGAAAAGACTGCAGAGAAGCCCCAGCTAGGCAGGAATCCAGGCGGGAAATGATGACTCTAACATGAGTAGGGGCAGCAGAAAAGGAGACAGTAAATACGGGATATTACAGGCTGACTGGGAGGTCTACCTGCTGTCTAGGCTGTAAGTTCCCACAGCCCGTGCCAGCTGCCTGGGCATTTAATGAATGATGTCACTAAGGAACACTGCTTCGATTAACCAGCCTTGTGTTTTTCTTTTTTCATGGTTACAGGCCAAAAAGTCAATTAAAAATTATTAAAGCTACCATTTATTAAGTACTCACTGTATGTCAAGAACTATGCTAGTTGCTTTAGAAATAAATGCAGCTGATCCCTGAACAACCCGGATCCAGTCACATGTAGATTTTTTTTTCAACCAAATGCAGATTGAAAATACAGTGTTCGAGGGATGTGAAGCCTGCGTACGGGGAGGGCTGACTTTCCCTACACGCAGGTTTGCAGGGCAGACTGTGGCACTTGAGTAAACACAGATCTGGGCATGCGTGGAGGGCCCTGGAACCAATCCCCTGCAGATACTGAGGGACGACTGTATATTTAATTCTCCCTTGTTCATTCATTCATCTATTCACTTATTTGTGAACCAGCAAGCCATCTTCTACAACTGAGGCTATACATGAATCAGGGACACAGCTCTAGTACTCATAGGGGACAGAGAGCACAGACCTCCACACCTGGGCTGAGGGTTAGAAAGGAACTGTGCTCTGGGGTTTCCCAATGGGAAATGATCAAGCTAGGGCTCTGGGACAGTTTCCCCATGGAAATGGCATTCAGGTCTCTCCTGAGACTTGAGGGCTGGGAGAGCAGACAGTGTAGAAAATATCAAAGGTGTGTTCCAGGGAGAAGGAACACGAAGTGACCAGTCTTGGAGTGAGGCAACAGTCTGGACTGAGGCCTGAAAGACCAGAACGGCGACACCTGGCAGGGAAGCTGGAGTGACGGGCAGAGGCACCGTGCTAAGTGCAGTGGGAGCCACTGACGGTTTGCTCAGGAGGAGCCTGTGATCGGATCTCTCCCCCCGACTGCGATTTGGGGAGATCGGTAGGAAGCCAGTGTAACAAACAGGAAGAGAAGGGATGGCAGCTAGTTAGGATGGAGGAGGTGGGGATACAGAGAAAAAGACAGAATGGAGGGACAGGGGTAGGAGTCCCAGCCTGGGCAGTGCAGGGTTGCACTGTTTAGGGACCAGGAAGCAGGAGAGAGAGCACAAGGACGGGGTAGATGGTGGTGCTGGGGTACCTGGGAAACGTGGGACAGGCAGGGAGAGTCGACTTCCGAATCCGTGGCACGAAGGCAGCTTCAGCCCTGAGACAGGACAGAATGGCTGACAGAGAAGGCACAGATTAAGAAGTCTCCAGAGTGAACTCTGAGGAACATCCACCTGTAATCCTTCCGTGGACAGGAGAGCAGGCACAGGAGCCCCAAAGTTGTGAGCTGAAGGGGAGGGGGACAGACGTGGCAAATACGATGTCCGAGGGTTCGAGTGTGCTGAGCGATGGGCTGGGTGAGAAGGCTGTCCGCTGGAGTGTGGCGAGAGGTCACTGGGGCCCCCAGTAAGTGTAAGCGCAGTGGTATGGGGACCACTGGTAGAGCAGACTGAGTGAGGACCCCGACATGGCGTGGGCTGCGGACCACGCGAATTCCTAACAGGAAGGAAAGAGTGGGGAGAGAGGGCCAGTCGGGATGGTGAAAAGATGGAAGGGATCCACAGGTTTTCATGCCAGAGACAGTCGCCTCTGACTGAGTGCCACCAATCTGCCCGAAGCCTTTTATCCTCAACACAACCTGACAAGGTATTGATAGTATAGGTAACAACTGAGCTTCTACACAGGAGAGAACTGAGGCTGAGGGAGGCTGGGAACCGGCTGAAGGCCCGACTGTAACTGGCAGCGCTGGGACTGGAAGCCCGAGCGCCTCGACTCTGACCCTGTGCTAACCGCTCAGAGCAGTCAACAGAGAGAGCAGCTGCTCCCAAAGCCAGCCAAACAAAAGAAGGTTTTCACAAGTGCTGACGCAGCTCCTTGAAAGGTGGGGTAGTGATAGGCAGAAGGTAAGAAGGAATTTGTGATGTAGTCAAGTAGGAGCAGATGGAGTTTACGAAAAACTTTTGAATTGTTATTTATTTTTTAAAAAAAGAAGAATACCTTTTTTTTTTTTTTAAAGATGAAACAGACAACTTACAAAATAGGAGTTGGGAAGCAATTCCGTACTTAACAGTCTTGAGGAAGCTGAAAGACAGCTGAAAGGCCTAAGCAATTTACAACATTCTTCACACTTTATGGGAGAAAATTAAGATTGATGTCTCAACCACACAAGAATAATTTAAGGTAAAATCAAAGATCTCCTAGATCATGTGAAATGGCAGATCCTAAATGTCAAGAACACTGAATAAATTCCACTCCAAGGAAGACTAAATAGTACATGTTTTAGTTATGCTATTTTACATCTTCAAGGTCTGCTTATATACATATCATAAAGAAGTACAAATAGATAATAATCATGGTTTATAGAGAGGCTACTAAGCACCAGGTGCTATATTACCTCTAATCCTAATACATTATTCTAATTCCTACACTATCCTATTAATCGTAATCTATTCTTTTCTATCACTAATCCTACCTCTGTAAGACTGCCTGTTTTGAATACGGAACCTCAGATAGGTTAAGTAACTTGCCTGATGTCACAGTGCTAGACTGCGGGCAACGGCCAGCACCTAACCCATCGCTGACACCACTTCCCCTACCTGAGTGCCTTTCCCGCTTTAATGGCAGCTTACTGCTCGCAATGGGTTTTAAATCATAACAGTATCACCAAACACCCCCTACCGACACTACAGAAAACCCACGCTGATGTGTTCTGTTCATCTTTCCCTCTTCTCTTTTTTTACGCTGCTATCAACGAGCATTGATTTCCTGACCCACTAACGGGCCCTGACCTGAAGACTGAAACACACCACAGCTCACTGACACCCACCATTCAAAACAGCTTTTCTATTCAACAATGCGCTTTGTGTTCTAAAAGGTTAATCAACAAAAGAACTTTGAGGACATGACCTATTCGGAGCCTGTGTGTAATTGAGCCACTGCATGGAGGTAGTGTCTGGGTCTACAGTAAGATTAAGTAGGGTCCTTTCATCTGGACCAGTTCTCAGGAACTTTGGACGCCAGGTGCGAATAGACACCAAAATACACGTATACACCACCAGCACCAAGACGGCACTTTCGGACTAGGTAACCTTGGCAACTTGTTGAGCTGTTTATGAAGCATTAGATCTGCCACAAGATTAGTGACACTCTGATAAAGCGTAAGTGGCGCCATCTACTTTTCCACTTCCCATAACCATGTATGCTAACAGCCTGCCAGAGTAGCAGGTTTTAAGATTTAAAGGTTTCAATAGTTGCAAAGCTTCAAGTCTGTTTATAATCTAATATGGGAGAGGCTGTGCAGGATGTTTACATTTTCATTAAATGTCTCTCTGTAGATGTTTCTGAAGTGGTTTTCATTTGATAAAAGAATTTACTTTAGCCTCATGACTCAGCTTATTTATTAACCGAGTGAAACCTGGAGGAAGGAAGAGGAACTGGGGAGACAGTGAGAATGACAGGTTCTTATCAGCCAGGCAGGGATGAGCTATCTCACCAGCAAGGTGAGTCATGACCCCTGGGAGGAAGGGTGTCAGTCACCAAAAGTGGCCTCTCCCAACCTATTAAGGAAGGAGTCACAGAAATTCCACATAAACTGTACATGGGACAACTCTGCCTATGGTTCCCCTTAGCCATTCTTAGCCATGCTCCGGCACTGGAAGTGTGCTCTGCTCCCCCAAGTTACCTGGATGCCACACTAGGAACACAAGGCCCTTTTCCTGGGCCTTTCACCTCTTCCACTCCCCACCCCTGCAATCCATCTACAGATGCAGAGCACTCTGAACTTTACAGTGTCAACAGGACACCACACACATCATCTGTCACCACCAAGAAGATCCCAGCACTTTGGGAGGCTGAGGTGGGAGGACTGCTTGAGACCAGGATTTTGAGACCAGCCTGGGCAACACGGTGAGACTCCAGCTCTATGAAAAGAAAAGTGAAAGAAAACAACAGTGAAAGAAATGAAAAGAGAAAGAGAAAAAGAAAAAATCTGGAAAAATGCCAACACAACCTCCTTTAACACCTGGCTAGCCACCTCCATGCCCTCATGGAGCCCCGCTGGCACTCTGCCTGGGCTTCCAGTCCTCTGTGGACAGAGATCAGTTTGGTAAGAAAAGGAATGAAATCCTCTCTTCAGACCGCAGGTTGCCTTGGGACAATGAAATTTACTGTTATAATTGGCAATATTTGACTTCACAAAGCGGCAGACAGAAAGAGTCACACTGGGCTGGGTGCAGTGGCTCACGCCTGTAATCCTAGCACTCTGGGAGGGAGAGGAGGAGGGCGGATTGCTCGAGGTCAGGAGTTTGAAACCATCCTGAGCAAGAGCGAGACCCGTCTCTACTATAAATAGAAAGAAACTAATTGGCCAACTAAAAATATATAGAAAAAATTAGCCGGGCATGGTGGCGCATGCCTGTAGTCCCAGCTCCTCGGGAGGCTGAGGGAGGAGGATTGCTTGAGCCCAGGAGATTGAGGTTGCTGTGAGCCAGGCTGAAGCCACGGCACTCACTCTAGCCTGGGCAACAAAGCGAGACTCTGCCTCAAAAAAAAAAAAGAAAGAGTCACACTTCTCCAAACGGGACTTAAAGAACGAGGATACTGGTTTTATTTTTCACATCAATTTTAATCTTTGCCTCTGATGAGATGACGTGCCCAAGAGCTGACTTATTTCACTGGTGGGTCTTGTCTATGCACTATCCACTAAAACCGCAAGGATTACCAAACATCCCCAAATGGCAGCACAACACTGAGTAAGAATTATTTTAATTGTAAAAGTCCTATCTTGTCTTGGCATTTAACATAGTGATTCTACACTTGTATAATTTTTTTTCCTTTTAAAAATTACCAAATCACTTCCTGTTATATTTCAGGGTTTTAGAAAACTGTTCCACCTCTGCTACCTCTGTTTCTTCTTTCCTTAAGGAAGTTGTTTCTCTGTTGTGGAGAGCTGGAGAGCGGCTGCCGCCCACGTAAGATCAGGCTTTTAGGTCGGACCGGGAGCACATTAAGTGCCAAAAAGAGAGGAAGCCTGCTGAGGGACATTTTTCTTGGGTCAAACACATATGCAGGAGAAGGGGAGAAGGAAAGAAAGAAGGGAGAGAGGAGGAGCCCGGGGCAGAGAGAGCAAGGGGGAGGGCAGAGTGAGCTTTCCCCTTTGCTGAGTAAGTGCTTTCAGAAGGTGGCAACTCCCCAAATTCAGAGAAGTAACAAGTTCTTTGCCACTCCAGCACAGTAAAAGAATCTGTGAAATTCTCTGCCAGCGGGAGAAGAAGATTTTTTTTAAAAAGTGATACTGGCATTGTTCAGCTTTCCTGCCTCACGTTGTTCGTATCTCTAAATTGTTCTAAACATTCGCTTGGGTTTCTACATCCTAAGGAGAACCATAGATCTTTTTGTTTCCTTGGACATCCAATGCAAAATCAACTGGTTAGATTTTTCTAAAAAGTCAAGCCTAATGTTTATATGTAAAAAATTAATATGAGATGGGTGAGGTGGCACATGCTTGTAGTTCCAGCTACTCAGGAGGCTGAGATGGTAGTTCAATTCAAGTCTAGCCTGGGCAACACAGCAAGACTCTGTCTCTAAAAAATCAAAAATTAAAAAAATTAAAATTAAATTAAAAAATAATTAATACAAAATGTGGTATTACTATTCTTCAAAGTATTTCTGAATATTTTATAACATTGTATTGTAAAATTTCCAACCACCCAAGGGTTTCCTATAATGTCAAAATACTCAACACAAATTAGAAAATCGAAAAACTTCTGAAAGTCATGTATCTATATAGAACACAGAATGTTTTCTGATTGATAATGGAGTACTAGTGGATTTTAAAAAGTACTATTTTTTTCTCTAGAAAAATACTGCCATGCTTTAAACTCTAATTCTAAAGTCCCACATCTAATATCTCTTATATAAGTCTCATTTTAAAGCATATTTAATGAATAAATCTACTTATACTGCCTTTGTATAGTATTATGCTCTGATTTTAAAGAAAAAAAATAAGTAATTGAAAGCAACTTCCATCAGATTCAACAGTAAAGTTCCATAAACCATGCTTTTGCAGCAAGCTCACAGACAGTGGCCTGTACCCTGTACTAGGTTAGGGCAGCAGTCAGAGGCCCTTACCAACAGGAAAAGAATAAGCCCAGCCTGCTTCTAAAGCTACATCCAGATCTGTTCTGCCAAAACCAAGTTATTGGCAAGGAGGTACATGGCTACAGACTCTTCTGCTGCGATATAGCCAGTTAGACAATCCATAGGTCTGAATTGCCAATGAAATAATTTTGACTCATATTAAGAAAAAAAATCCATGTTTTCAATAACTAATTCCCCCAAAGAACTGATATGGGAGTCAACTGTCCAGCTTCCCCCTTTGAGTAATATAGAAATGAGAAAAGAAGAGACAGTAGTAGATGTTGTTAATAAAATGCAGGCAGAGGCATGAAAAATAAAACAGAATGTCAGCTTGCAGAGCCAAGTTTATTTCTTACTCCACCCTGACATGATCAACAGCTGACAGAAGGCTTCTTGGTAAAGTAGGTAGAAGAACCCCCCCCACACTCTCAGGTTACCAGGCAACATGCCACCATTCTATTAAAGCAGTCATGGGGAGAGTCCCTGGATGGGCAGTTCGCTGCAACGCTGAGTCATCTGTTCCCCCAAGCTCACAGCTGGCCTCCTGCAAGTTCTCTCCCCACAAGCAGACTCTCCCGGGAATGCATTAGCAGGCAGCTACTGAATGCACCCCAAAAGTCACAGAGAAGGCACAAAATTCACACCAATCAGGGCATGTTCTGTCACAGACTGGAGCCAGAGGGCAGCCATAATTCACTGCTGTTTCCAAAAAGAGCACAGGCAGACCTTGTGCTCAGCTCTCTACAAGGCTTAACTAAATGTTGCTTGGATTATTTTTTAAAAAAAGAAAACAATTTTTTCGACCACTTCAGGATTTAAATGATTTTAACAAACATCACAGGGACAGAATGGTGCAGTAGAATGAGTATGCACTCGAGGGGCAAAGAGCTCTGTTACTGGACTGTCACTCACCCTCCCTGGAACTGTTTTCCTATCTTTGAACTGTGGTGCTTTCCACAGTTGGTTTTGGGAAAGCACCTAAGACTGGAGTTGCAGCAGAGAACACGTGTGTGGAGAGAGGGGAGGGGACGCTAAAGTTGAAAACTGCCTTCAGTCAAAATTCCTTTTGGAGATGCCACATTAGAGAACAACATGCATCTCTCACTGAGTCCAATATGGCTGGGTTTCCTCCAATGTCGGAACACACTGCTGTTTCTTTTCTCACACACTAGAGGAAGAAGATGGTTTGCCTGTGAGCACCATGTTATTAAACATGCATGCACACACGTTCATGTACACGCGTGGTCTATAATGAGCAGGACACTGGCTACAAAGAGGAGTGCGAGAACTGATATTCACACGGGAAAAGCAGATCCACATCTCCATTTCATCTCCAAGTCACACATACTTTCACTGAGTGAAGGGACGAGCTGAACCAGTCTCACTGCCTAAAAACTAATTATCCAAACAGAGTAAATTTGAATTCACACAAGTTTAAAACTTTTATCATGCAACTCTCCTTGGTACCCAGTGAATAAACAATCTATGGCTTTGTGCCTGTCCTCTGATCACACACACCCAGGCTCGTTCTCTGAAGACAAGGAAGGTGTTCTCTACCACCAGGGCTATTTCTCCGGGAGAATACCCACCACCCACCCAGCTACTTCTCTCTGCTTCCAAACAGCCCAGTGCTTGCAACTGCCATTTATACAAGACACTGAGTAACTGTGGCTTAACTTCCTAGGGCATGGATTTTTACTGGAGACCAGGGAGGAAAAATTAAATAATTAATCTGGTAATTGAAAACAGTTTGGTATTAAAATAAAATGGATGTATTATAGAACAAAAGTTTGAGAATTTGTGAGACTGGTTTCAATCAAACACAAGACTGTAGGGAAATTCCAACTTGTGCTCCATTCCCCTCAGCCAATGCGCCTGAGCGCTCCTATCTGCTCTCCTTGGGTGCCGGGGTGCTTAGCGGAAGTCTGAGAGACTCTCCTTCCAAAGAGACATCTCATAAATATCAGCCCAATGAATGACCGGTTCTCCTTTCTGGTGGAATGAGAACAACAGGGGAGAAGAGACAAGGTGGTGAGCGTAATGTCCACACAGAGTAGTTTACACAAGTCAATTTGTATGCTAGTTTCACAAAAGACACTCTGGGAGCTATTGGGAGTTCTCCGTGGTTAGAAACAATCTTGCAAAGCGCTGACTCCTGTGAGAAAAGCGTAATGCAATATCTATTTTTTCCAGCAAAGATAATAGAAATGGATGTTATCACGTATAGGCAAGGAAAGATGAGGGCAGCCTAAGCTAAGAAGGCACGCTATTGTAGTTCAAATGAATCTCTTGTTTGAAAGGGATTATGATACTGCTCCCTTCCCTGTACACCTGTGGACACAACAGGGAAGTGGGAATCCTGTCCTGTAAATTCACACCAGGCTTTCATGGCCAAGATGAAGAGGTCACCTTGTATCAGTTGACCCATCTACCAAAAATGTTCTGGAACACTGACTGGGCAAGCCTTGAGCAGCAGGGCCACCTGCACTAGGACCGCAGCGGCCATTTCCCGAGAGTACATCATACGCAGTACATGCTGTCAATGCCGCAGGCTCTGTTACCCTCATCTTTACAGAGAAAACTGAAGATGTGCTGAATGGCTTGGCCAAAGTCTTGCAGGTGGTCTAAGAAGAACAGGAACACAAACCCAAGATGTTTCAGTCATAGTGAGCTGCAAGGAGATGATGCCAAAGAAGATACAAATACTGGCCACCCACTCTGATAGCAGACACTGCTTAACTGTTCTTAGAAGCCGAGAACAAAGGGCATGGTGTTAATAATCTTTCTGCGTGCCTTCTTCAGCAGGGAGGTCCCCTGCCGGTCAGTGAATGTTCTGTTTAAACTAGAAGGGGTTTAGATGGGATCATATTGTTTGACCTAGTAATTCTTCTTTTAGGAAATCATCCTATAAAAATAACCTGAAATGAGGGCTAATTTTTTAATGCACAAAAGATGTATACAAACTTCGAAAAATTTAAAATATATTTTAAAAACCACAAATAAATGTTTAACAGTAGAGGAATAGCTAAATAAATTATGCTATTCATATTCATTAAAAATTATGCTTTTAAGTTGGGCACAGTGGAGTGTCCTGTCCTCCCAGCTACTCGGGTTGCTGAGGTGAGAGGACTGCTTGATCCCTGGAGTTTGAGGCCAGAATGGGCCACATAGTGAGACTGTGTCTCTTAAAAAAAATGCTTAATGGCATAACCAAACAATAAATAATCAATACATTCTCTGGCTAGTTGTTTAGAAAAAAATAACTTGAATGCCTATCTCACAGGCTGTATCACTGATTCATTCAATAAATATCTGCTGATCACCTATTAGGTGTTTACTATTTCAGCCATTGGAGTAACTCAGAATAAAAAATCCTTGCCCTCCTGAATGGATGTGTTCACTCCGAGATAATTCACTGAGCAATACAGTTATGGTAAGTGCATTTTTCTGTAAGTATGTTAAACTTCAATTATAAGTTAAAATAAAAAGCCTGACTTCATGGATTTTATATTCCAGTGGTGGTATACAGACACTAAACCTATTTTCATGTGAAAGGATCTTTGGGGGATGAAAATTTTAAACCCTAAACCCACCCATCACATAAGATAGATATCAAATGGATAGCAAAATATGAAGATAAACTCTCCTCAGGCTAGACACAGTGGCTCATGCCTGTAACCTCAACACTTTGGGAAGCCGTAGTGGGAGGAGTGCTTGAGGCCAGCAATTTGAGACCAGCCAGGGCAACATAGTGAGACCCTGTCTCTACTAAAAAAATTAAAAATAAATTATCTGGGTGTGGTGGCACATGTCCGTAGTCCCAGCTACCCAGAAGGCTGAGACAGGAGGATTGCCTGAGCTCAGGAGTTTTGAGGCTGCAGTGAGCTGTGATCTGGCTACTGCACTCTTGCACTCCAGCCTGGTCAACAGAACAAGAGCAAGATCCTGTTTCAAAAAAAAAAGGGAGGAAACAAAACCCTCTTCCTCATTTAAAACCCATAAATATGAAGCTCTAATATTTTGTCAAGCACCACTGATATTCAAGAGCACCTGAAAAATGTTTTTATTTATACTATTAACTGCATCAGACAAGTATTAGGGTATAATGTATTTTTTTATTTTTTTATTTTAAGAGAGGGTGTCTCGCTTTTGCTCAGGCTGGTTTTGAACTCCTGATCTCGAGCAATCTGCCCGCCTCAGCCTCCCAGAGTGCTAGGATTACAGGCGTGAGCCACCGCGCCCGGCCCTTAGGGTATAACGTATTAAAACAACTTCAGAGATTTTAGTAGCTGGAGAAAAAAATAAAAACTAGGGAATTTACTGTTTCAGATGAAAACCTGCTTCATATAAATAAGTACATTCTCAACCCTAGAGGAGGTCTGTATATATTTTTCTGTTCCTGAAGGAATAAGCACTTTGGCATTGCATTTCTTTTGCTAGAGAAGGAAGATAATGGTTAAATGTCCTTGTTACTACTTCTGGCCCCTAAGAAACAGGTGTCACAGTCAACCAGAGTAGAGAGGCACAAAATCAAAATGTGAGGGCTCAACTCATGCAAACACATTCCTAACTGTTGTCTTTCAGTGGAGACTTCTAAAAACGATCAGTGGAAATGTTCCTATTCAGAGAGATTCCCAGCACACCTAACAATTATTGCTTTAATCTACTAGGTGTCGCAGTCAGGGCACTGCAAGCATCTCTGCAGCTTGAGACTCTTCCCAGGAGACACACACAGCAGAGGGTTGGGGGAATCCGTTCATTTGTGAGGGAAAGGAAAAGGTCACGGTCATTTTCAAAGCCTGGGGTGATGAGCTTCACACCAAACAAATTTCAACAAAAACTACAGAAAAACTGAGTAAACCTACATATTCTCCTAAATGGTAACTGTCATTCAGGGTAGCTCTTTTCATCAACGCATATGCCATATCCAGTTTACCCTGTAGTGTATTTCTCTGTCTTTTTAACAAATCCTGGGGGTGGGGGGGAGAAGGAGGCTAGGAAAGCTATCTACTTGAGGACTATTAAGTGCCTGTACTGAACCACAAATTGTAGAGAGCTTTATAAAAATTTGTTTTTTTAAGCCACAAGTAAAGAAGATCGATCTTTATGATTTAAAAAAGAAGAAAAAAAAAATCATAGACTCAAAGAGAAAGAAAACAATTACTTAGTTAAAATAACAAGTAAGGAAACCCAAACCTTCAGCTGGACTTAATTTCTTAATCTATCATTCTGCTTTTCCAAAGCCCGTGCCAGGGCGCTACGTTTTGAGCCTGGGTCTCTGTGTTCCAGCCCTCGACTGCCAACAGCGGAGGCAGAGGCAGCACATGTCCAGCCATCACCATCTTTGTGACATGGTGTTTTGACTCTGCCATGCACACAGTCCTTATCATCTAGCCAGGCTTATTTTTCTATTATGCTAAACCAGGAAGGAGGAAAGACATGCCAAAGGAAGAAAAGATACCTATAAAAACAGCAGAAAATGTTTCTGAGCCACATTTTCTTTTTAGAAAAGAAGTGAGCCACAGAGGAAAAAATATTCACCAATGTCAAAAGTTCTGAATGCCACCCAACCATGGGATTGCTCAGTAACGGTAGTTTCTGGATCATTTCTTCTTTTAAAGTGTCCCATGAAAATAGAAAATCAGATCACAAATTCTTATTCTTTTATTATCTCACATCTTTGCAAATATTTCCTTTTAATTGTGCATTAGTCTACCCTTATTTAAAAAAACAAAACAAAATAAAAAATCCACTGCTAGCTCAAACCCTAAAGCCCTAGCTTACTTATCTCCATCAGCTGACACAGGGTGATGAGTCCAAGGTCCCATTATCTTTTAAAGGTCAAGGATGAGATAGCCTGGCCTGTTCTATGGACAGTGTATACCCGGCATCCTCTGCTCAGAAATGAATGCTGTTGTTCACAAAGGACAGGGAAAGAGTCTAGACAGATTAACACAAATCTATTCCCACTGCTGAGCAACCTCAAGCCACATCCTATTTGATGGCTCATTAAAAAAAAATTACTTGGGAAGTGATCAAGCAGCAGATGAATTCCTATGCTAGTCAGAGAAGATGGCTAAGACACAATACATCACACATAAGCTTGAATCAACGAGCTGAAATCATGACAAAAATATGAGCCTCAGATATGTCTGGCTCTCTCCTACCTCCTGAAGTATTAGGTTTAGCAGATTCAAGTAGAGATCCATGTACTAAAAGGTCAAATGCATCTACAAACTAATTCATATGTAAGTAACTGTGAAGTCTTTAGAGTCTAACGATAAAGTGATTTTTCTCCTTCCTTCTGAAAAGTGTAAGTCAAAAAGGCATTAATTGTGTACAAAAACCAGTAAGACAAAAGAATTTTCTCTTGCATTGTGCAGGTAAGAACTCTCACTCAGTGGAGTGCTCCTTAAGTGCCTGGCCTGTGCTAAGTGTTGTGCTAATCATCATCCTACCGCCCTAGGATGGATCCCATGAGGTCGACGCTGCAAGGAGCCAGTGCGAACCGTGCCTCTGTGAGGAAGAGGCTCACTGTCTTGCTACAGATGCACATGCAAAGTACTGTCGCCCCTTTGTTTTCCACAGAAGGAAACCTAAGGCCCAGAAAGCCTTGATAAGCCCCCCAAATCAAAGCAAAAACTATGGACTCCCAAAATGCCTGCTCTTTCCACTCTGCCTTACTGCCTCTGATACGTTTGTTCATCCACACACTTCTATAAAACTTGACCTTCCAGGTGAAACTATTAATAACAATAAAAGCAGTCACCTTGTACATTTTAAAGGGGTTCTGTTGTTGTTTTTTAATCTTACAACTCAAATAAATCCTTTTCTTCCAGGAGCACTTAAAAAAATATTTTCAGAACTTCAGCAAATAAAGTGTACCATTATAAACAAAGGCAGTAAAGTACTACAACCTGCTAATATGTAATGCAAATGTAAACATATATTTGCTGTATCTGACCTATGCTTTGACCTCTCAGGCCATCACCAATGGATTCTGTTGTTAATCATTGTAGTTCCATGCTGGGTGTGCTATAAAATCCTGTATTTATTGGACAAATTATGATATACCATATTTTCTGAGTTATGGCTCAATATGTTACCGATGTAGCTATGAACTGTATTACTATTTAGATAGTTCACTTAGAGCAAAAACTGCAACTCGGCTACAAGGCCCTGCTGGATGTGGCCCAGCCTGTCTCCCGGCTTCTGGCTCCCCGCTCCAGTCCCCTCACAGCACTGCAGCTGCACTGCCTTCCACTCTTGGAGCCTTCGGAAAAGGTGTTCCATCTTCCCAGAGCACTCCCTGCCACTATCACAAAAGCTCATACCGAAGATTCGTTTACTTCTCAGCACCAAACTCTTTCTCAGAGAAGCCTACCCTGACTGCCCTAGATTAATTAGGTCCACTTCCCCTGTTCTGCCCTCTCACAAAGCACTTTCCGTGCTTTACTGGACTAACTTCTGTCTCTTCCACTAGACTTCCAGGAAGGCAGCGCACGTGTTTTGCTCCCCACTGCATCCTTGGCACCCAGTGTGGTGCCCGGCACACATGCACTCATTCAATAAATGTCCAAGTGCCTAGTGCACATGCACTCATTCAATAAATGTCCAAGTGCCTAGTGCACGTCAGGTATTGTTCTAAGCACCAGGGGATGTATCATGGACCTCAGATTCTAGCAAAGGGAAACTGACATTGGTGGGAGAAAAGATATAGCCAAAAAGAAACATCAATCAGTGCTCTGGAAAACAACAGGGCAAGGAAGGGGCAGAGATGTAAGAGTTACTTTTAAAGGGGGAGGTAAGGTAAAGAAAGCATCACTAAGAAATTTAGAACAATCATTTGAGGGAGGAGAGGGAGTGGGGATCACTAAATATCTGGGGAAAGATCACTCCAAGTGGAGGAAGTATCGGGAAAGAGGTTTGCAGAAGAGGGGAGTATGCCGGGAATAAGCAGGCATACGGTAGGCACGCTATGACGACCTGTTGCATAAATAAAACCGCACAGGTAAATCACGCTAAAGATTATCGCAGATGCCAGAGTGAAGCTAAATTTTCATCATGTAACTTCTGTTAGTAATAACCCAGTATGTGGCCCACAGAACAAACAAGGTTACATCTTTACAAATCAATACTTGGCTGCTCCTTACTGTCCCCTCAAACTAAACTTGCCCTTGTTGCTTGTGCCCGTTACTCATTTCTTGGCCAAATGCCAAAATACACACTTGTTCCCATCTCTCCCTATTCAGCTATAAGCATTTCACACATAACCTGAACCTATGCACGTGAATACTTGAAGATATTAACTTCCTGCAATCCACACACCTCAGCCTCCCAAGCAGTTGAACCTACAGGCATGTGCCACTGAACGCGGCTTCCAAAGTCTTTTTTAAAACCTCCCCAATATAAACATTAAATCCATCTCAAGTAGCAAATTCTAAGGTATGTTTCATTGGTCTCACTGGTCTGACAACTAAGCTTAAACATACCTACATGAAAATATTTTATTGTCAATTTAATGTCTCCTCAGAGATTTTAATATTAAAAGGAAAAAGAAAATACAGTCACAAGGGGTAACAGAAAAAGACTGTGTTTAAATCCCTTAGGAAGTTATTGCAAAGCAGACAAATCATCACTGGCCAGTGCAAGCATGCCAGAAAGACATGCTACATAGGACATGAAAACTGTACCTCATATTTTAAAATGAACAAAAAGGTTTAAGAAAATGATACATGAAAGAACATAAGTCAGAATTAGAAAAACTCAGAAATGAAGTGATGGTACTCAAGAAAACATTAGAACTCATATTAGAACTAGATATAAAAGGAAAAAATCACTTTAGAAATGAAGATGAAATTAGAAAAAATACAAACACAACATGCCTTAAATGGATGATAAAAAGGCAAAAATTTTTAAAACTGACAAGAAATGAAGAGATTAAAAATGGTTTTAAAAAAGTGAGACATACAGAAGACAGGCAAAGAAAGATCCAAATAACTATAATAGAAGTTCTCATAGACAAAAACAAAAACAATGGAATACAACCATGCTGAAAATTATAAGCTAAGACAACTCTGCTGAAATAACCAAAAAAGGCTCAATATTGCACACTGAAAGGAGACACCACACACTTGGGAAAACTAATCCAAAACAACTACTATGAAGACACATTTCAGTAAAAGTAGTGGACTTTAAAGAAAACTTTGGTATATCCAGTTAAAAAGAGTAAGTCACTTTGAGAAAAGCACTTCAAACCAAAAGAAAATGGAACATATTTAAGACATTCAAAGAAAGAACATTTGAATCAAATACTCTTTTACATAAAATTTTTTATCTAGCTAAACTCTCAAGTAGAAAGACTGCAGAGAAACTAGCACTCCAGAACTCAAAGAACATTTTCCCCATGACTCTTCCCAAAACATGTACTAGAGAATAAAAGCTCCAGATGACCAAACTCACTGTAGAAACATCATCATACTGCCAGTGAGCACTAAATGTACACTTACCTGTAAAACTGCGACTAAATGAAGGTTATAAGGGTTACTGTACAGTACACAATAGCTGTTTGCTCTGGCAATGTAGATATAGTATAATTATTTAAAAAAGAAAAGGTGAGAATGGAGTGGCATATGAGAAGAGCAGAATAAATCTGAGTACTGACCCCTTACAGTTAGTAATGTGACAAGTAAAGGATATTTCTTTAAATCTGATGCAGAGAAGGAAAAGCAGGGGAAAAAAGAGATTACTAGCTGATTTCAATATTTGTCATGGTAGGCAACCAACAGACAATGACTAAAAGTAGACAAGATTAAAGTATTATGTTATTTGTGGTAAACCGTAAAATGGCCAAAAATTTTTCTCGTTCCTTTTATGCACACCCTTTGCAATGTGACTTTTCTGCTCTTCCCATGAAGAGGTGCAGTATATTCCTTGCTCCCTGCTTGAATGTAAGATTGGCAAGCAACCTGCTGTAGCTCGGTGCGTTAACAAGCATGATGCAAACAGAGGCTTGAAGGATGCTTGCCCTCTCCTCTGCTGCGACCCCTTCAGTCACCATGGGACACTCCTGAGTCAGCCATCTGCAAGATGAGGGACCACACAGAGAGAGGCTCCAGTGTTCCCAGCTGAGATGCCAAAAATGTGTGAATGAGGTGATCCACCCCAGCCAGCCTGGCACAGACCAGAAGAACCACCTAGGCAACCCACAGGATTGGAAGAAATAAGAAGTATTGTTTTAAATCACTGTTTAGGGTGGTTGTTAAGTAGCAACTACCAAAAAATGAGGTTAAGAATGGGGAGGCCATATGAAAAGTAAAATATGCTTGTTGACTCCCTTATAGTGAACAATTGGAAATAAAAGGATATTTTTCCAAACCATATGTTAAAGGACAGGGGTTTGTTAACTAAGTTCAATATTCCTCCTAGTAGGGAACTAATGGATAATGAAAAAAAGGGGGTGGCTAAGGTATTATATAATGGCATTAGAATATGGTAGCCCTTGGAACAAAAATTTAAGTTGCTCTTAAAAAAAAACCCCACAAAACAATAAACAAAAACAAAGAACATACTAATTAGAAGGAGTAGAGAATAAATAAAATAGACCACATAAAGACTACTCATATAAAAGAGACTTGTATACATATATAATATGAAACAATGAGAACCAAGGCAAAACATATTGGCCATATCAACAAATTTAAAAGGGCTTAATTCATCTATTAAAAGAAAGAAATTTCAGATTGGCTAGCAAAGCAAAATCAAACATTATGTTGTGCCACTACTGCAGTAATGAGACAGGAATCTGGCAGGTACTGCTTTGGGCATTGCTCCAGGCACGGCTTAATTGTGCAGGAATCATTTAACTGAGTCTGGAAATCTCAAAATGAAGTTTCAAGCTACCCTGATCAAAACACGATAGAGGCAGGGCAAGTTCCAACCGGTAAGAGCCAAGATGGTAGAGAAATTGACTGCTTCTTGACCTTCTAGCTTCATTACACACTTCATTACCATAAAAGTTTCTAAGAAAACCTCCCACTCCCATCATGCACCTGATGCCATGATACTTCCTATTTGATCTTATGTAGTCAAACCGGAGGGTGTCACCCTAATTCCAGAAAACCACCACCCCATCTCAAGAGATAACATGAATATCTCTCCCCTTGTTTAGCCTATAATTAAGCTGTTGCTTAGAAGGACATAAGGAATCATGGGGCTGGTTCTCCTCCACAAGGAGAACTAGTGTCTACTCTGTCTGTGGAGTAGACTTTCTATAGTTTCTGAATAAAACTTGCTTTTATTTTATACTGTCAGCTCGCTTCTGGATTCTTTCTTGCATGAAGCCTAGGACCCACTCAGACTTCAAGTGGCTCCCAGCATTGGGAATCACTTTTCTGTGTCAGTACTACTACAAAGCGATCTCCTGAAAATCTTGTAAAATAATAAAATAAGCAAAGCAGGTGTGAGGTACAGTAGCTTACACCTGTAATCCCAACACTTGGGGAGGCTGAGGTAGGAGGACTGCTTGAGGCCAGGAGTCCTAGACCAGCCTGGGCAATATAGCAAGAACTTATCTCTACAAAAAAATGAAGAATTAGCTGGGCATGGTGGCACATGCCTGTAGTCCCAGCTACTCAGGAGGCTGAGGCAGGAGGATCATTT